AAGTTTTGTATGCCAAATGCAAAACCTTTGAAAAAAATATGAAACAGGACTTTTAAAGGTGAACTTTAGTCGTGATTCGGCCTTTTCATGGCTCACTTGTGCGCTTAAGAAAGAAGAAGTTCAAGTCTCCGGTTAAAGTCAATTATCATTTAGAGCATCTCTTCTCACAGAGCTGAAAAAATCATTAAACGTTTGAATAGCGCTTATTCACCTCCTTTTTTCTCTTTTCTCTCCCGTGTTTGCGTGCAGCTTTAAATTTAGCGAATATTTTCGTTATTATTATATAATTTTGGGATTGGAAGCAAGCATAAAATGACAGAAAGGCTCTTTGGGATGGAATGTATCTCATCAATTATTTCACAATTTGCTTTGCGTTCTGCCTGCTATCTATTTAACAACCAAGGCCTCGTTTTCTTAAGAAGCGACAGAAATTCATTTAAAGACACGAAAACTCTGGATGCCTACTGTTGGTAATTATACTAAGGGCGCCATTTGGCTATTATCAATTTCAAGTCTAACACACACTAATGGATAAATCGGAGAGACGAATTTAAAATCGCATAAAGCTAAAAGTTAGCTAAGGTACTAAAAAATAAAAATAATAAAAAAATGGAAAATGTACCTTTCCTCCAAGGCAATCAGCATTTGTTTACTTTGCTCAATATGTGGTAACCAAGAAGTCACAAAAGCTTTCATTCAAATATTTGTCTATTGTTACCTTTGTTTTGAAAATAATTACACTTGCGGAGAATAACGCCAAAAGTATAGCGAGTATTCTCAGGTGGAGGTTCGGTCAAGAACTCTTTTCGGTGGAACAGACATTTTTTAACTCGTGAATTGCGCGCATGCGCAAGAGCGAGTTGTAGATATGAGGTGGAGAATGGCACCCGCTCGCTCGTTTGCTCGATTGGTCGATTCCTGTAAAACTTTTTTTCGATTTTAGGCTTTTGAGTGCATTTGATAGTTTTTGGCGAGTAAGAAACAAAGGAAATGGCGACCTTTATTGCTAAGAATAGCTGTGGGGTGAAAAAGAAGCCAATGATAAAGTTAGAAGAGTTAATTTTTTTCATTTTAGTTTCGTTAAGCGGCGCCAGCGACTGGCAGGCGTGCGAGGATTCACACTGAAATAAGAGAGCAGCCTTCGTTTTTCATAAAATTGTAATTTACAGTCCTTGAACTCGAAAACAATCCGAAGATTAATTAAACGTATGACTTACTCCGAAGTGCTCGGAGTTTACAGGTGTTCAAAAGCTTTTTCTGTCATGGCGTGAGATTGGGGACAAAATCGATCATTACATTTCGTATCGTGTATTTTTTTCTGTGTGAAGCAACGAAAGGTGCCGGCGACTGACGAAATTGCAAGTTAACATGAAAATCAAGTAACACCTAAACAAATAATTTTGGCTACCGATTTTCAGTGAATTTTTAAAGAACAATTTTCTTTCAAATTTTTAAGACAATTTGAAGATTCAAAATAAATATTACGTACTAAAATGCGAAAGTTATACACCACAAAATTGATAAATAGGCCTGAAATGAAATTCAATATTGCTCTTGATTATACGTTGCCTTGCACGTGACCAAAATCTACCCAGGCGGAAATCCAAAAATGACGGTGGCACTCTGGGCTTAGTTATATCACTCAAAACTCGTTACCGTTTGTCTCATTTGGTAAAGAGGGAATCATCAATGTTTTCGTTAAGACAGTATTGCCTTTATTTTCCAATATTTACAATGATAGACAGTAAATTTCACTTTTCACCCACATTTACTTCCAACCTTTTCTTTTGAACCAGAAACAAAAATGATATATGTTAAAACACATGACATCATTCACCCTTGTCAAATGTAATAGCGTGATCATTTCATTTGTAATGCCTTCTTATCCCAACGTTACTTTGTTTCTTTGCTACATTAACGAACACTGAACTACTGCTCGTACTCTAAATATGACAATCAACCACAAAATTCCCTAAACCACATTGAACATAATCCAAAAAAATCATGTAAGTCATCTGTCAATTCACGAGTTTGCTCACAGTGCAATTTGATTTTTTTGGAAATCCACGCAATCAGTGCTAAACGTAATGAAACATTTGCCATATGTGAATCCCAATGGGAAAACAGTGTACTAAGGTGGAAACACGCATACGTTAAAATGACACACTAAACAACAGGCGGCGAGCAGCGTGTCTCACGGTGCGACTGGCAAAGCAGATTATGCAAATCCTGAAGATAACGTGTTAATTGGCTCGTACAGGGATAATTCATGTAATGTATTTCAATAGCGCTCGTTGTGAGTTTGATGCAGGTTGAAGAGGACACAGTTTTTAAAAAACTGGGCAAATCACAAGAGAAGGACCCAGTAATTCTTAAATTGATCGGTTTTTCTATAGGGTTGTTTTGTTGATGATAAGAAACCTGATAATCGTAGAATTTTGTCCCTTTACCTCAGTCAGGCATTGTATGTGAATGATGATAATAACGTCAGCAACAACAACAACAACAAAAACAAACAAAAAAAGTAAAAATCAAATGTATTGCCTGCTGCTTTTAGGCGTCTTTTTTTATTTGCTGTCATTATCATCATTACTATTATCATAATAATGACATGTATTATCATTATTGATGTTATTAGTATCATCATCATAATTATTACTATCATTACTATTATCGCTATTATCATCATGATTTTTATTTTTTTTTACAGGGTTGGTCTAAGGATCTTGGGAAAAATCATAATTTGCTCGTGTTATTGGCATTTACCGTAAACACTCAATGTCCAATTAAAAATGCATGGTGGTCTGTATTGTTTTAATTGAGAAAAAACGTATAGACAACTCATTGAAATTAACAGGAATTGGGTACAAACGAGTGAGCTATTTCTTTATGAGTAACTGCCGCTGTTCAAACAATCCAACATGGTTTGTACTCTTACGCAACCTTTGTAAATATGGGGGAAATAACGATCTTTTGAGATGGATGGTCACACCATTCCTACTTGTTATCATTTCTTTCCATTCTAAGTTTTGTGGGGAATGTATTTATGCATTTCTCCCTCTCACCTTTTCTTTTCATTGATGATTACTTTGTGTTGAAACAATTTTGCCACAAAAGCGGTCTTCAATAGACGATTTGTAGCTGTACAGAGAAATAAGAAATTGTTATGGTATTTATTGTACTAGTTTCCTTGTCACTGTACCATGATATATCCCATTGCCTTAAGATATCTGTTTCCATTATCTGGTCCAAAACTAGCCACGTTGCCACACGTGATGGATTTGTCAGGGCTGCCTCCTGTACCAAAACCGATTCTGGAATCAGTACTTTCGCAATTAGATTGCTCGTTACCAATAATACCAATCCTTGCTTTAGAGTTCATGGGAGAGCCCTGTGAATTGCAACCCTCTTTGTTGCAGTTAAGCTGCAGGGATGCGTCTGCACCAATCAACGACTTCCATTTATCACGACCAAGCGAAATGGCACGATACTGCCCGTCAGCGATCAGTGAATAAAGGGAAGTTGCCTCCATGTGAATGACTATGAAATTGGTGTGACTTCCGATCCTCATACCAAGGCAGATCTTGCAAAAAGGTTTCTCCCTGTAAGTTGGTAGCTTAGTTTCTTGTGTGTGGAGCCCAGTTTTTCCTCCGGGAAGGTTAAAAGTATCCTTATTGGTCCACAGAACGGAATCATAGGAAAAAGTGCCCTAGGGCCAGAGCATCCAGGAGAAACAAATGAACGGTAGTTAATGTCATTTAAACTCAGAATACACAACATATCCAATTTAGTAAGTCTTTTATCAAATAACCAACATCCTTTAACTTTCTTAGAACTTAAAAGTAGAAAAAGACTTGGAAATCAAATCAGTTTTCCTCAAATAAGCTAATTTTTCGCATATCTTAATGGAAAAAACAACTTTCATCGCTGATTACTTAGGTCAAAAAGCAAGAAATAAATTTTGCTGAATGTTTGAATTTATTATTTCACAATTTGATATACTCATAAACATGTGTAACTTGTATTGTTACCTGAATTTAAAATCCTTTTCTCTGGTGTTTTAAAACAATATACTTCGCGAATATATTGAGATCCTTCTGACGTAGGGTGTCGCAATCGACGAAACGAACATTATATATTTCTGAGCCAAAATAGGAGGAAAGATGTGGACACAATGATAGGCAATTTCTTCGCAATTTTCTTCGCAAAAGAAATAGATAGATATATAGATTAAGAGATACTCGACTTATTACATGTAGATAAATGGATACGTAAGAATGAATATTTGAATGACCATCGATAATGACAGCAGTAGATAAATGAATGGGTACGTGAGGTTGAATATTTGAACGGATATCATTCATCAACAGCTAGATAAATAGACGAAAAATAAACAGTTGAAAGCGAGTTTGTACCTTACTGCCGTCCATCTTTATTATCAGCATCCATTCGCTGGAGTTGCGCTCCACGAGATGTTCAGCTATGTAAAATTCCTCACAGCATGTAAATGACATATTTTATTTTCATTTTTATTTTTTTTTTCACAAAAATAAAACCAAAACAAAAAGTAAAACACACAAAAAAGCAAGCAAGCAAGAGAAAGAAAACAAAACAACCCCAAACGAAACGACGCAACGTAATATAACATAACATTACGTAACGTAACAAACGTGACGTGACGTAATGTAACGTAACATCTTGAAACTACTATCATTAAATCATTGTTCAGTCGCTTAACAAGTTATTCAGCCCGTCAATTCTAACAAATTAAAGAAATTTGGTATATTCGACTGTACTGAATAATCTTATATTTCTGGTATATCCAATATAAAATGTATATGTTACCTGTTTCACAGTTTTCTCCATTGTAGAGAGATCCACCGAGACAAATGTAGCCTTTCTTGGTATACCCATTAAGGCAAGTCCCATTGTTAAGGCATGGGTTATTACTGCATCGGTTCTTATTGGGGAAACAAAATATTCGTTCTTGAAAAGAAAAAAAAAATTAAAAAAAAATTTAACTTCCCGTCTTTGTTTTACCCACTCTCTTACCTCAGTACCAATGTAAATAGCTGACAAAACAAGGTTTTCATTTTCGCAGTATAATTGTTCGATGGCTAAATCTTATTGACTGACAGTTCTTGAAGTTTACTTGGCTCTGTTCAGAAAATAGGTGTCCATCTTGGATACATTTTAGCGACCCTAAAATGAACTGACATTACATGTTAACTCAAATGTATGTTTATCTGTTAATATTCTGCAACGAAGCCGCAAGTAGATGGTAGAAGGCGATATAATTGATCAAAGTATGTGCAATGATTTATGAGTATTTATTACTGTTCGAGGTCGCCTTAATGAAATATGAAGGGTGATTGCAGTCCTGAATAGACTTAGTTAGATTTGGTCACTATCTACCACACAGGTGAAAAGTGCTCTTCGCACGCGGTGATCGGCTTCTCCGGTATTGATCATCAAGTCCTATTCACCTTTGAGCAACCGAAGGGACGACCATTTTCAGTATACTGACAGAAATAAAAGAGTATATACTAAAACAACTATGCACCTAAGTGTCGGTAAGTAATTGTTAATTATTGACTTAGATTTTATCAATTTCAGCTGACAAGTATCTTTTCACTTCACTTCAAATTCAATAAATCACTCTCTCGGTTTTTATTTGACTTATGTACAGCTGTCAGTATCATTACCATGGATACTGCCACGATTCATTTGCATAGTTTGATCCCTCAAGTTACTCCTGGTATTTTTGTTTT